ATCTTGTCAGGTCTTCTACGTGTAGATTCGGCCTCTCCAGCTCAAGAAAAACCCGGGATAGCCATGATGGGCGGGTAATGTGTCTAGTGTACCCACCTACATCATCGTGTCCGAAGCGTAGACCGGTGATTAAGAAAAACTCCTCCCGCCCAAAACACGTATACGCCGGTGGAAAATCAAACCATATCTCTTCATCACGACGTTGTATAGTCTCTGGTAGATCGCTAGTCATGGTTTGAAGAAACAGGTGTGTCAACATCGCATCTCCACCGGGATGTTGTACTTTCAGCCATGGCCCGAAGCATGTATCCTCAAACATTTTTCTTTGTGCAGGTGAAAGCTTCGACGCAATTGTTTTGGCCAGGCTGACTTTATTTCTTAAGGTCAATTGAGCCGAATAAAACTTCTACAAAAACAATAAACATACTAAGTTAGATATACCAAAAACTACACTGTGAAGATATACCAAAAACAATAATAAACATAAAGAGTAGTAGTTTATTCTTCAAACTTAAATTTGCAACACTGTGAATTTCGTATTTGTCTTTGTTTTTTGGTTGAAGTAATGCAATTCATTCAAGTTTCAATTTGCAGAAGAAGAATAGTTTCTGAAAATGAAAATCGCAACACGAAAATGACTATCGCAACGCGAATTTGACTATCGCAACGAGAGAATCGCAACGCGAAACTAAAATCGCGTTGCGATTTTCATTTCGCGTTGCGATTATCGGTTGATTTAATAAGCAATCTAAGTAAAATGGTTAATCTATTATTGAAATTACCAGTAAACTTATCATCAATTTCAATATGAAAAACCTAATAATAATGCAAAAATTTCAAAAAGAAAATAATTAAAAAAACTAACCCTCGTTGGTTGATTTGGTTGATTTTCCATTTCTGATTGTGAGGGTGGCTATGAGAGATGGAGATAGACGGATTTCGCCGGAGATAGGGACGGATTTCGTTGGAGATGGGTGAGAGAGTGAGAGATGGAGATGGGACTGAGTTGTGATTTTAGGTTTTAGGTTATGAGTTGCGATTACGGGATATACTGTGGACGGTTCAGTGTTCCAATATATTAATATTCATGTTTGGAATTTAAAAATAAAATACTTGGCCATGATACTAATGGCGCTTTGAAAATCGCATTGCGATTATGTATTATCGCGTTGCGAAAGTCAGAATCGCATTGCGAAAGTCAGTATCTCGTTGCGATTTTGTATTATCGCATTGCGATAGTCAGTATCACATTGCGATTTTCCCAATTCGCGTTGTGATTTACTTATTCGCATTGCGAATTGGGAAAATCGCAACGACACTGTAGACAATCGCAACGCGATTTTCAACTATCGCAACGCGAAATGCAACGCGAATTTGCGAAAATGGAGATCGCGTTGCGAATTAGCGATCGCATTACGATTTTGTTGGTCATTTTGGCAAATCCGGAAAAAATTGGTTAAAATCGTATATTATATGGGATTTTTGGTCACTGAGGTTATTTTCTCTTTATTAAAATACTTGTTTCTTAATTTTATAAATTTTATATATTATTCATTTTATAATTTTGGGTTAAGTTATACTTTCACTATGTCGAGACAAAATCAGATCAAATTAAATTATATTAAAATCGGGAGTCGAATTAAGATGAGATGAAAACTCTTTAATTTTTATGGTAAATTATACTTTTACCATTTAATTATTACCCTTTTTCATCTTGACCATTGATCTTTCAATTTTCCCAATCAGACAACTTAACTATTTAAATGATGTCAATCAATCACCTGCCGTTAACAAAATTGATATAATTATATATTTGATCCTCAATATGTATACATTCTAAATTAAAATTAGGATCAAATCTATAGAATGTATATGTACTAAAGACTAAATGTATAATTGACAGAATAATTAAATGGTTTGATTTACATGTCAACACTTTCGTTAAATATTAATAATATGTGGTTTGACCGGAATCGTTTAAATAATTAAATGGTTTAATTGATAAAATTAAAATATCAATTATCAAAGTAAAAAAGTGAGAATAATGAAAGGATTAAAGTAACAATATTTTTAGTGGATTGTGATTGCCATCACTTCAATCAATAGCCCAACTAAAATGTTGTGATGAAATAAATATGGACGTTGCAAAGGGAACCAAGTGGGAAATCAAAGCAATTGAGGTTCGCAAAAGGCTCAAGTAGTTGTAGTTTTCATGCAAAGAACGTGGACGCAACCCCAATTACTACCGCACATCTACTGTTATTGCCCCGCGCTTTGTGCAATTTGTTCATTTGATGGCTTAATAATAGTGGAAAACACCACCAACCGAGCCACCTCTAAAAATATTATTGTTGTTTTTTGAGGTATCATGTTCAGTAGCGAATTCAAAAATATTTTTTAAGGTTGATAGATATATATTAACAACATAAATTTTTTAAATAGAACGGGTATAAATAGGTGGGCGAGAAAAATTTCAAGATGGACACAATCAGTAAAATAAATAACTAATCGAAGAAAATTTAGATTTCAGAGTGGACACGTGCCTATCCTTACCAAGTCGTGGCTCCGCTACAGCTCAAGTTCGAACACTATGAATGTCAGGGGTATGGACGTTTATTGTTAGGGATAAAAGAATTGTTGTTCTTCATATATTTAGATTTAATATTTTTGTTTTATATGAGTATTTTTTGTGACAATTGTCTCATTTTTTTTATGTTTAGATACGTTGTAATTCTATTTTATTATATTATTTTTATAAATAAAATTCAATCGTAATTGTTATAAATAATTTATTTTAAAATGGTCATTTTTTAACTAATCCTATCTAAAAGGAGGGAAAGAAACTTAGGGGAAGGAAAGAGAATGTTTTTAAAATCCATCACCTAATAAAATTATAAGAAAATAAATATGAACAACTTAACTAACTGATGAAGTATACTTACCCATAAAAATGATTATTTAATATAGTGAGCGTAAAGCTATAAATGAGTCGAGCTCAAGTATTGTTAAGTTCGACTTGAAAACTCAAAAATAGAGCTCGAATCGGCTCGAAAATTAGCAAGCCTAAAATTTTCAAACTCAACTCGAATTCAAAATCATGAATTGAAGCTCGTAAAAACTCAAAATAAAAAAATCGTAAACTTAACTAGATTAAAGCTTAAACTCGAATTTTAACCTGAACCTTAAATACATAAAAACCTTATACTGTAATTTTTTAAAAAATATCAACACATAAATACTAATGTTATTAATAATTTATTTTCTAAAAATAAAATATTAATATATTATATTTTCGAGTTGCACGTGAGTTTTTCAAGTCTAGTATCAAGTAGCTCGTTTCGGCTCGTTAAGAACTCGAGTCGAGTCCATTCGAATCAAGTATTTATCGAGCTTTGACATAATCAATCTCAAATAGCTCACGATTTGTCTTGTTTTCACTTACTGCCCTAGTTGAACAAACTCTTTATGCATAACTTTTTGTAACTTTGAATAACGCGTTTAGTTGGAATTGGATCCTTTTTTAATGGGAATTGTAATGGCATAACTGTTTGGCTACCGTTGATCGGATCACAGTGGTGGGCAAATTATTAGCGGCTTAAGTTCGAAATTTGCACTCCTTTAAAACATCCCCACGTGGACAGGAGGGCGGGCCCAAACTATTATAATTAAAACACAATAGGAGATTCCCGCCTCTGTTCTCCTCCTTGGAAACATTTCTGCCGCCAAAGAAATCATAGTTTGTATTTTTGTACCCGAAATGCCCTCGAAATTGCTTTTATTTCGTTGTATAGTTTTATCAGTACGTATATTTTAACGCTTCGAAAACCAACAAACAATCCTAGGACAATCCAGTCATTTTGATACCACTGACGGCAGATCTAAGAGGAGGCCGGCAACTGTCGGCCGGCGAACCAGAGTGACCGGAGATTAAAAGCAAAAAGCAAAAATTTTATTATCTTATTAAGTATATAATTACTATTAAACATTAATTAGTCAATTTATTTAAAAAAAATATTATACACACACAATCCAATATCCCTTTGTATTTAGTTATTTACCCTCACTTTCTCACGAACCAAACAGCCACTCCTCTCTCGCTCTGCATTCCTGGCTCCCTTCTCTTTTTCCGAGAAAATTCGGTACTTCTGTCAGGAAAATTTTGATTCCAAGAATCCAGCTGAACTTGTAATTTTCGGAGAAATTTTTAAACGAAGCCACCATGCTTACCTCCGTATTATCTGGTATGTTTCCACCTGTTTTCCGGACCCTGGATTTGATTCAGTCTCATTGTAATTTTCATTTTCTATACTTGAAAGCTATCAGGAGTTAGAACTTAACCAACGATCCACATGGCTGCTGGCAATCTCATTGTAATTTTCCTTCAAAAATAAAATAGTCATTGTTTGAAAATAGGAGAGTTTGTTTTTACTTTTTTTCGCGCGTGTCTGTTTTTTTTTTTCTGTTTCTTGCAATCTCCATAGGAAAATCAGCATTTTGTGTTATATGTTGTTCTTTTCTCCTCCCCTTGCTTGGTCTATGTTGGTGAGTTTCTTGTTTTTTTTGTTTTGCTTGTTTTCGAGATATCGATTCAAGCTGATACCGATTCTCGTCGTGTATTGTCTCGGATCGCTTTAAAAAAGGTCATTTGTTTCCATACAACCGTGTATTCATTTACCCCCCCTTCTTTTAAGCAATTCTCCTTTGTTTTACCTGTTTCTTACGAGAATATTGATTTTATTTTACTTTTAATTGCAATGAGATGTCTACAACAAATTTCTTAACAGCAATCGTAAGTCTTTGTTTCTTCCAGGATTTCAAGTTCTCTCTCACGGTGTTTGATGATGAAATATTTAGTATGCTTTGTTTCGAGATCGCAGTGATGTCCAGATAATAGCTTTTACAGGAACGCTCATATTGCCTAGTTTTTCCTCCTTTATCTACAGAGGCATTTTCCTTGTCCATTTCAACGTATGAAATCTTCTATTTTTAATCCTATGTGTATCAGAGGAGAGAAATGTTATATATATATATATATATATACTCTGAATGATAATTTGTTCATATAACAAGAGGGAACCATAGAACTGAGTCAAATATGTCATTTGCTTTGTTGGGGTGCATCATTCTAGAAAAATTGAAGTTCTTAAAGGTTGATTCCTAGCAATGCGACCCTAGAGGGTTTTTTTTTAATTCTTCGCATTCATCATGCATGGTCGGTACTCGGTACCGATTTTGTGTCGAGGAGAAGGAAAATGTTTAGACCATTATATTTTGTAAGTTATCAATGTAATTTGAACTTTATGTGTGTTTTGAGTTTTTTATTTTCGCCTAGTTTATAACCTATCTGAGTCATCTGACTTTGTTCTATTTTCATGTTGCATTGCAGTTGATATAGATTTGCATTTTAGTGGTTTCCTGATTTGAAGGCTAGATTATGGACAACTCTGGGCTTGAAGAGAACCTATTTTCAGTTAGTGATGCCAAGGTAAGAGTTTGATGGCATTTGGATATGTTTTTTTTGCTATTTTTTGAATTGTAATTCACTTCACAAAAAGGTACCTGCTTGCTTGCCATTTTTTAAACTTTTCCCAGATTTTTTTGTTGGTATCGATTCATCTTTTAAGTTCATAGTTTTTGTTAATTGTGTTTCTAAAATAAAGGTCTTCTGTTTTCGGGAAGTTGTAATGTTCACATCTTGTTGCATCTTTTTAGGAAAGAAAAGGTCTTAATTTCCACAGTTCTCTTACCTATTTTCTATTTTTTCTTATGCAGTTTCATGGAGAAATGTGCAAGACACTTTCAGAAATTTATTGCAAAGTCTCGTCGATATTCCCTTCCTTGGAAGCAGCACGGCCTAGGAGCAAATCTGGGATTCAGGCTTTATGCTCCTTGCATATAGCTCTAGAAAAGGCCAAAAAAGTTCTTCAACACTGCTCAACATGTAGTAAACTCTACTTGGTAAGATATATGCATGCATAGTTACTCATGTGTATTCTTAGAGTAGCGGTTTTGATTTTTGTTGGATACGTTTACTAAATTACTTTTCAATATTTTTCCTGGAGATTTTTACTAACTTTATTGTTCTTCTCATGTAGGCTATTACCGGAGATTCTGTTCTTTTGAAATTTGTGAAGGCAAAATCTGCTCTTATTGATAGTCTTAGGCGTGTAAAAGATATAGTTCCACAGTCCATTGGATGTCAGGTACTAATTCCTTCCTTTTGGTTAGTGTGTGAAATTATGTAATTTCTGTGTGTTCAAATAAATAAGGGTCTTTTCTGGAAGCATTTGAAGTAGTGTTTTATCCACATCATCCCAGTGCGTTGTTATACTTCTTAATGGCTTAATGTTTGTGTTCAAATCAAGAAGGGTTTTCTGTGTCTTGGTTATATTGGATTTACCTGCAATATGAATCTTACTATGTGAAACCCTGTAGTAACTGTTGCTTTTTCTTGTACACTCACTGTATTCTTGGTTTACTTGTTTGGCTTCAGATTTCGGAGATCATAAAGGAGCTCGAGGAGACCGTCTTCTCACTCGACCCGTATGAGAAGCAAGTTGGCGATGAAATAATTGCATTACTCCAGAACGGGAGGAAGTTTGAAGAATGTAATGACAGCATTGAACTCGAGTCATTTCACCAGGCAGCTTGCAAACTTGGTATCACTTCTTCTAGAGCAGCCCTAGCTGAAAGAAAGGCTCTCAAGAAGGTGATAGAAAGATCCCGTTTAGAGGAGGACCAGAGGAAGGAATCCATCGTGGCTTATCTTTTATCTCTCATGAGAAAATACTCCAAGGTATTTCGAAGCGAGGTTTCGGATGATGCCGACTCGCAGGGTTCGGCACCGTGTTCCCCCACTGTTTTGGGCTCTCTCGAGGATGGAGGGGCCGGTGACAACTGCCATGGATTCGAGCACCAGCTAAAAAAGCTCAGTTCTTTCAATTTCAAGACAAACATTAGATCTGGGCAGTCACGCATTCCACCCGAAGAATTACGATGTCCGATATCATTGCAGCTTATGTATGAACCGGTTGTAATTGCCTCTGGACAGACATACGAAAGGATCTGTATTGAGAAATGGTTTAGGGATGGGCATGACACCTGTCCGAAGACTCAACAGAAGCTCCCGCATCTCTCTTTGACTCCTAATTACTGTGTCAAAGGTCTCATTGCTAGTTGGTGTGAACAGAACGGAGTTCCTATCCCTGGTGCCCCCCAAGAGTCTCTTGATCTTAACTACTGGAGACTGGCCCTGTCTGCGTCCGAGGCTGCAAATTCTAGATCGACGGATAGTGTTTGCTCATGCAACTTGACAGGGGCTAAGGTGGTTCCTTTAGAGGAGAGTGTTACAAGTAAGGAAGTGAGAGGAAATGAAGCCGAAGATGAATCTCAATCCCTACAGGAAGAAGTTTCCCAGCTCAACGTGTTGGATAGATATCAGGAAGTCCTATATGTCCTGAATGAAGAAGAGAACTTGATTGAGAGATGCAAAGTCGTGGAACAAATAAGGCTTTTGCTGAAAGATGATGAAAAGGCCAGGATTTTTATGGGGACTAATGGATTCGTCGAAGCATTATTGCGATTTCTAGAGTCGGCTGTGCACGAACAGAATGCAGTGGCTCAAGAAGTTGGGGCACTAGCCCTATTTAACCTTGCTGTCAACAATAAAAGGTACGTTTTTGCTTACTTATGAGCAATACAGGCTTTTCTATTTCTCTTAGCTTCTGACAAGCTGCTGCTAGTCTATGATTCATTCGAGGATACGCTAAATGCATCGTTGTCGGAGCATTGTTATGTCTTCCATTTTGGAACTGTTATTCATATGATTGTTCTGCATTACATATCAGGAACAAGGAATTGATGTTAGAGTATGGATTGATTCCATTGCTGGAGCGTATGATTTCCATCGCCAATTCCGATGAATCGGCAACTGCCCTCTATCTTAATCTCTCTTGCCTTGAGGAAGCCAAATCTATCATAGGCTCAAGTAAGGCTGTCCCATTTTTAGTCCGGATACTAGAAGCTGAAACTGATACACAATGCAAGCTTGATGCCCTTCACACTCTTTTTAATCTTTCAACCGACCACTCCATTATTCCGAACCTTCTTTCTGCCGGCATAATCAATCAACTCCAGTCGCTTGTGGTCTCGGGTGACCATACCTGGACAGAGAAATCCATTGCAGTTCTTCTAAATTTAGCTTTAAACGAAGCAGCAAAACAAGAGATGGTATCAGCCTCCGGTCTCATAACCGGCCTCGCATCGGTTTTAGATGACGGGGAACCCATTGCGCAAGAGCAAGCTGTTTCATGCCTTTTACTCCTGTGCAACGGAAGCGAGAAATGCAGCGAATTGGTCCTACAAGAAGGCGTGATTCCCACGTTAGTCTCGATGTCAGTAAACGGAACAACAAGAGGCAGGGACAAGTCACAGAGGCTTCTGGCGCTCTTCCGGGAGCAGCGTCAACGAGATCATCCTCCCGCAAACCTATGCCGGACATTAGTAGAAAGCGGTCAAGACACAACGCCTGCTTCGCCGTCGGCTCCGGAATACAAGCAACTCTCTAAATCTTCATTAAGAAGAAAAGTGGGGAAAGGCTTCAGCTTGAACTTTCTATGGAAGACCAAGAGCTACCCTCACTTCATTTACCATTGAAAAGCGTGGCAGGTACTGTAAATTTCCCTTTGTATATTTTTTACACTTCTATTGTCCTGTTCCATTGGACCGTCTTTTTATTTATTTTTATCATCATAGAGAACCAGAAATGTACAGCCCCTTTGTAATCCATGGGCTATTTTTCTGGATTGTCACAATTTACATAATTTATGTATGCATTATATATATTTAATTAAGCCCCTTCAAAATTGTCATTAGACCCTATTTTTTAAAAATCCCTCAAAATTTTCAATTAAGCCCCAAAAATATTTAAATTTTTAATTAGCTCCTACAAACTATCACGCCGAGATCCTTGATTCAGATGTGACCCTATGTTGTCTTGTACTCTAGCTGGCGGATTATGTGAATTTTGACGTGTTAGGACTTTTTGATAATATTTTCTGAGTAAGAATGACTCGTGATATTTAATAATCTTACGGTTGATAAAATTTTGACGCAAAAAGTAGGATAAATGGTATAAAAATACACAAAAATTTATGACGTTAAAATCAATCAAAATTTTAATTTTAATAATAGATAATATATATCCTTATAATTTCAGAATCATAGTCCTAAATAAAAAAATGTATACCATCTTTGTAGAAAATAAGTTATGCAATTAGTAAAATTATCTTAAAATATAAAATATAAGTGTTAAAAATGATGTAATTATAGTTCCTGTTTATGTATATTACAATTTTTTCGAAATTTTTGATTTTTCTCAATAATTTTTTTTCTTCATATATATATATATATATTGAATAAGCAAGGCAACCAAATGAACGGCAGTAATACATTTTAGCGGGAATAACGGTTAACAGTTATAAGGATTTCCAATTTGGTCCCAAATTATCGGCTTCACGTACTCAAAGGTTACTGAATTATGCTCAAATGGTTTTTTTTTTTGTCACTGAACTTTTATAAATGATATAATATTCAATAAATTTATCAAACTGTTGCAAAATGATTAATAATTTTTATCGTTATGTTGCAAAATAATCATTAAACTTTACCGAACTATTACACTTATTACAACATCATCGTGATTATTTTATAACAATTTGATAAATTTAATAACTATTTTATAACTTTTAAAAGTTCAATGACTAAATATTAATTTAAGCATAATTCAATGACTTTTGATGTACTTTAATCAAAGTAAAACAATATAGGGTAAATTATGCGTTTAGTATTTGAACTATCAGTTTTGATTTGTTTTAGTACCTAAACTTTCAAATTTTTAAAATCATACCTAAAGTTTAGCTTTTGTCTCATTTTAGTATCCCGTTGTTAAAAACTTTAGTTTTTGTTTCATTTTAGTACTCCATTCAAAATTAAACGTTAAGTTTTTTAAAAAATTGAAAGTTTAAGTATTAAAACGGACTAAAATTAATAGTTTAGGTACTAAACGCGTTAAGTTTTAAACAATGGGTACTAAAGTGAAATAAAACTAGATGTTACGTATGATTTAAAAAAAATTAAAAATTTAAGTATTAAAACGGAATAAAACTGATACTTTAACTACTAAATGAGTAGCTTGTCCAAGAATTTAAGTAAAAAAGCAAGGAACTGGAATTGGAATCTCTAATATTGGCAATGGAACTACAAGCATGAATAGAATATTCAGTGAAATTTGCTCTCATCACTTTCAAGCTCCCTCACCGGTAAAACTTGTTTATACTCTTGCGTTAAAATGGCTGAAATCCTGGGTGTTCATCAGTTGATTGATTCTGAGGAATTTTCATTTTTCAGTTTTTGAATGAAAATCGAAAAGAATGCCTAAACAGGAAACTTGGATCGGTAACTTTCCGGTTCCTTTGGATACTTTTCTTGGTGATTTTGTTTGTTTAAGTAATATTCTTTACTTTTGTCTCTGATGGCGTGACTTGTTTGTGGTGGTTTGGGTTTGCATTAATAATGGTGTTTTCTTCTTGCCTTTTCATTGTTGCAATCATTATGGAAATCGGCGCAGGTTCTTTTTCTTTGAACTTTTTGCTTTGCGTTGTTGATTTTATCGAAAATAGAAACATTGAAGCTAAAGGGTCTTTTCTTTTTTCAATCTTTGGAATTGGAAAGTTGGAGCAAAGAATATGATTTATTTGTTCTCATGTGCATCATTTATTAGGGTTTTAACTTATAAGGAATTCTTGGATTCTAAAAAATTCAATATATATAATATATATATGGGTTAGGATTTAATTACATAATGTAAAACTTTATTAGTTTTACATAAATTTAAACCTTTGACTGGGAATAGAATGATGGGATTAACTTTTTTTTAAGTGAATATCTTCTCATTTCCTACTGGTAATCTCAGTTTCTATTTATACTTATCTAATGGTTCTAAATCTATGTAAAACTATAAAGTTATATATATATATATTGTTTTCTTCATTTTGGTGTATTTCTTGATAATGTTTTGCAATTGTTTGGGCTGCAAAACGATCATAATTGTCTCTAATTCCATATGCATTGAATCTGTTTTATGTTCGAACTTATGCATGATTGAGAATCTATTTGTTTTGGCACAATGCATGTGATTTGAGTTTTTTAGCTTGCTTTTCAATGCAGGCATTCCCGGTGACGGGCGATGTTTGTTCCGCTCCGTGATTCACGATACTTGGCTGAGGTCAGGGAAGCAGTCTCCGAGTGATAGCTGTCAGAAAGATCTTGCTGATGAACTCAGAGCTAACGTATATTCCTATTCTATTGCTCACAGGGTGTTTGATTCCATTCACATCAAAGCATCATTTGGTTTTTTAGTTGTACTTGCTTCTGAATTCGATATAACTTGGATGGAATTTGTCACAATTTGATTTTTCTGCTGTCAATTCCTATTCTGCCGCAGATGTCTTACTTGCCTTTAACTTCTTCTTGGCATACATTTTCAGCATAGTGCAACTGGAATGTGTTAACCAGAATTTTGTTTCTATGCAAAACCTGTCTTTATTGCTTTATCTTCGTTTCAGACCACATTTATCGGCAGATCGGTTTACCTGCATTTGATTTTTATTCAATCCATTCCCATCTTCTGTTTAGCTGGGGATGTCTTTCTGCTGTAACTTTGCATTGGCACACAGTAAAATATTATATGTTTCGACAGGTTGTTGACGAATTCATCAAGAGGCGGGCTGACACCGAATGGTAAGCAAGTTTTCTTCACATATGAACTATTGTAGCCACAAGTAGACAGTAAAGGTTATATCCTGAAATAAACCGATCCAAATTCTTGATTAGCATCTCCCTGTCGATTCATTGACACTACACGCAAGTAAATCTTCACGCTTTTTGCAGGTTCCTCGAGGATTTCGACAACTATGTCGTGCAGATGCGGCAGCCACATATATGGGGAGGAGAACCTGAGTTGCTTATGTGCTCACATGTCCTACAGTGAGTTTTCCTCTCTTTTAGCTTTCTACATCAGAACTTTACAATTACACTTTCCTGTTATCAGTAAATCAAACTTTTCTTGTCTGTCAAATATATGTGTCATCTGCAGGACCCCTATAACAGTTTACATGAATGACAAGAATTCCGGTACCCTCAAAATTCTATCCGAGTACGGTCAGGAATACAGTAAGGAAAACCCCATCCGAGTCCTGTATCATGGTTATGGACACTATGATGTATTGATGAGCCCAGTAAGCAGTGCTTCTTCTAAGCCGTAAGATATCTTGTTTCTCTAGTTTTAAACTGTTTTTTCAGCCTTCATATAGTACCTATATTAATCAAGTTCATATACTTTGATCATCAGAATTAGAAATAGTTTGAACCCGAAGCTTAACTCACTGGTTCATGCAGTCACTCTTAACTATAAAAACGACTTCGAATAAATTACCGAGAGACTGATAGTTGTCTTGTTGCCGGTTTTTGCAGGGGAAAGAAGAGATGACTTGGGGATAATTGCACTGTAAAACAGGAGATACTAGGAATTTTGTGGTGACAGTGTCCTTTGTGAATGTAATGAAATGAAACTCTTTTCAGGTGTAATTTACACTCATTCATGGATTCAGAATAATATTAAGTTAATAAAATTATGATAGATAAAATTCTTTTTATAAACAAGTGGCTGGTGATGGGAAAGATCAAGGAAATTAACCCTTAAAATCACATCACATGTAAAGAAGATTTCAAGGTATCTTGGCAATCATCTTCCTTTTATTAGCAACCGTGCAATAGGCGATACAGATTTGTAGTTTGTAACATGTGTACGATGATGTAACGGAAAATACCAATTTTTACTCTACTCCGACGAACCTTGGCAACTTAATACACCAGCCTATGATCACATGCTTGTATACAGAAATATGTTTGGTGAAAAGTACAGGGGGAGGGGAAAAAACATTGCTACTCACCATCTTTCCATATCTCTCGGATGAGCTGATATCTAACAACTTTCCGGCCTCCCTTTCCCATTTTCATCCAATTGGGTTCTTTTGAAGTGGGAGAACCGTGAGGGTTCTCGATCATGATCGCTGTAATGGGAGAATCTAATTCATCAAGCTCATCATCACTAGTGTATGATTTTCTAAGCGCAGATGATTGACTCCGTTCCATGGTTTGACTTCCTATAATGTCTGTTAGGGAAGTTGCAGAAGGTGGAAAATAGGTTATAGGAGTAGCCATACATGGGAAGTTTGTGATGGACTCTTCCCCGGCCTCGGAAAGGTCCTGATTAAGAGAGAAAAATGATCAATCTAGGAAAAAGAAAGCCGGGCACCACAAACTTGCAACTTTGCAGAGTGATGAATGAACTGGAAAGTTGTATTTTAAGCAAAACTTTGTATATTGTTTATGACAAACCTCTTCCAATGCTTCAAAAACTGCCTGTGAAACTGGATTTGGGTTGAATTCGTCGGCTACAAAATTGTTAAGAACCCTGATGATCAGGGGGGCACTGAACTTGGGACATACCTTCAGCATTAAATTTCAAAGGGAAGATGAGATTAACAGATAGAGAAGTGACAGAGGAATGAGCTATAAAAGAATATATATATATTGCTTATGGAAATTAAAAGAAACGTTTTAATAATTCCAGAACTATACCTCTTTCCTTGTGGACCTATCCACAAGCATGTCAGATGGGAGCATCATGAGATCACTCAATGCATTTAGGAGGGAAAAAGCCTTGAAGGAACCCTCACATACAACATTTTTGCACTCGCCTACTTCGTTTTCAGTGCTATGTTTGTGACTCTCACTATCGTCTATACCAAATAGATCCGATAACCATCTCGACCAGTTTCCGATCTGGTAACACGGGCGGCAGAAAAAAAGGATACTTTCAATGAAATGCTAGAAATGTAATAAACTTCTACGTTCTTACATCATTATTCAAGCAACTTCACTGAAGCAATTTCAAACCCTAATCTCATTCTTTTATTATCCGTTGACATAACATTTGGAGCAATAAATCACAAGGTAAACATTTAGCTTCTTTAAATGAGGAAAAATTCTGTCTGTCAAACAAGACCAGATCTTGCACATCAAGGAGGCAATGAAGTATTAAAGTTGCTACAAAAAAGAGAGCCCATTACTCACAGAATTTTTTAGTAGTATGCCTGCCCCGAAACTTGATCTGCCTGCAGGAATAGGAAGAACCTTGGAATCGCTTATTGGATCAGAAATGGGATCTGTTGGCATTTCATCATCTGATTCACGAAGAATAGCATTGAACATTGCAACATCTAATCTGCCCACCAATTGCTCCATTACCTAGTGATGGAACAGACAACAATGTGTCTATCAAATTTGCATTTCAACGGCATTATCAATTAGATAATAAAATCATAAGACACAAGGACATGCCCGCCTCATTTTTTAACAAAGAGACATTGTGATGAACATGAATAAGCATAGGATCCAAGTCTAAGTTTTGTATTCATGCATGAAAACAAAGTGTATGGTATATCATAATACCAATTTAGCCAACACAGCTAAGCACCCGCATTCGTGCCCACATGCTCGAACGGGACAAAGCCTCTCACAGGCATCTTTAAAAGCCTTCTTCCAAAGCTCAAATGAAAAATTTTCCTGCTCTTGATCACCTAATCCATGTTTTCTGCTTGAGGTTTTCTTTGATCTTGAACTCTTTGCAGCAGCAGACTGCATATATGGAGTCAAAGTCTGCCACCAGACAGATTCAATTATTCTGGAGAAGATCCAAGCTTCAAAATTTTGCAACACAAGTAAAAATGTCTGAGGGTCCACCCAGTCATCTGAACTTTCCGAACATAGCTGCATTTCCCCAATAGTGTGGCTAACAGTTGCTTTCAATACAATTGAATTTGATAACCAGACGGTTAACCTATGGAAATGGAAAAGAAAAGGTGAAAAAGGGAGAAGCATTACACCACCAATGACTAAATTTGGACAACATGCAAACCAAATTAACATCTGTGAAAAAAGCAAAGGTAGAAGCTAAAATCTCCCAGATTCATTTTCTAAAAGGAAAAAGATAACGGAAAGTTTTAGTGCACACCTTGGAACATCGTGTCCACATGCTTTAGACACCAAAACCAATCCAGAAATAGCAGCCCTAGCGGCACTTGCCCTCTTATCTTGGGTATTTGCACTACAAGCATGAAGATAGAATCTAGAAAGTCGTCTAGCTGGAGCATGAACCTTATTTGTAGAACCTCCATGCTCTGCAACAACAGAATAAAGACCAGCCTCAAGAACAGCAGCTTCTCTTAACTCTTCTTCAAGCATTTCAATTTTGGAGTCCAATTCAACATTTCTTTCGGAAAAGCTCTTTGCATTTTCTGTTCTTTCATTACACGTATTACATGTAGGACTACCATGCATCTCTTCAGAAGCATCATTTTCATTTGTCTTGTCCTTAAACTGAGTTTTCTTTAGCAGCCCATAACCGTTATCCGTGTCAGCTTTACTGTTAGTTTCTTCCTTTTCACCAAGTATATCACTTGTGGTACGATTAGAAGTCTTTTCAGGGATAGAATTATCCTCCGCCCTCTCCGTGAACTGGATCTTTGAGGGTCCATTACTCTTAGCTTCGTCAACATGCAACTGAACAGGTTTCAAGTTCTTTTGTCTAAGACCTAACCTATCCTGCAGAGAATATTCCTCAGGACCTAAAATCTGGCTATCCAGCTCATCTTCCCATGATGACTTTTCAGCATTTCCCTTCCAAAGACCAACACGTGAATCACTACTTGAATTTTTGTCTACATGGCTTTGGTCATGTCTCCAGGCTATTCCAGCACCCTCTATTTTTCTTTGGGAGTCTTTATCTTTTACATGATCTGAGTTCATATCTACTGGAATGGCAACACATGCCTCCGAGGATGAAACTTTACCCGTAGGATGAGTTACAAGATTCTCTGAATTGGAGGACATCAACTGGTTTGCAGATGTTCCATCAGAAGGAAGAGCGAGCCCAGACCTTGTTATCCCACCATCCACTGGTTCTGATCCAATCTGTAGTGAATGGTGACTTGCTATGAAACATTCAGAAATATAAGCTTTTCTAGGATGATGACAGTCACCAAATTAACCAGAACAACAACAGTTCTATAAAGGAATCATGCAAATGCGTAGGAAACTGTGCTCCGGTGCCTGCTCGAAACTACCATATAGACTCTCATAATGGTTAAAGAGGGATTGTAATTTGTACCTACAAATTAATCACTAACAATAATTTTTTCTCATCTTATTGCTCCTGGTGATTTCAGGTCAGGGTATGGCCTAATTGCCAGCGATGTCTTACCTTGATATAGGTCCCAAGTTGAAATCCCCTTCGCTAAATTATTAAAAAAAAAACAAAATTCTTGATAATTTTTTAGCATCATTTAGAAAGAAGCATATGCACGGTAAACGTAATTTCAAATAACACCACCAAATGCATAATATAGGATTATCAAATCATAATCGTTTCTTATTCACATGAAAATTCTACTTATGGCAATGCTTCAAGAACCTTAAGTTGGCCAAGTCAATTTCAGAAATCTTAAAGCTAAAACCTCTAATTCAAGGTAATTGCTAAGACAGTTCAATGTGAATGGACACAAATAAAAAAAGAAGGATAATGAACTTAACTACCTTGTCAAGTTGACTATATGACTCCCTCCGAGGATCGAAAACAGAAGAAGAAACAGTCCGAGATGATTGTAAGGAAAGATCATCATCATCAGTTAAAGGGGCACTCTCAGTTTCTACATTTATCGATTCAGAAAATGAGCTGCTCCCATCCTTGACAAATGACAGTTCATTTGGAGAGCTGCCTCCTGGTGACGAGCTGGAGCTGCCTTTATCAAATGGCCGGATATTAAAATAAAGAATTGGTTGGCCTGCGATCCTTATCTTTGAACTCTTCTTCAAGTTAATAGGAGTGCTAATGCTTATAGTTTCCCTGATAACCCCATAATCAGCAAGGTTTACAACAGCAGATCCTAAAAGATGACCCTTTGCATTTTTGTCCCTTCGAGGCTCGTACAAGTAGAACTCCAAGTAGTTCTTTGGGAACCTATCACGGTGGCTGCTCCTACGAAATGATTCCGGAGATAAAGTCACCGGAAGCCCGAAAGATTCGCCAAACTCGATTTTTCCATTCCTATTACAAGAAACCAAGGACCCAGAATTCTTATTACCATTATCCCATTGAAGCAATATAGACTGAGGCAAGGGCGAAGCTTGCAATGGTGCCCAAGGACTAATCTCCTTAACACATACAACGTAATGATCCTGATCCGAGACGCGGTTTTTCTTCTTAGTTTTTAACCCAAGAATCATTGTCCAAACCCCGAAGAAATAACCGCTTGCACTCAGGATCAATCAATATGGCTTCACGTTTATGAAAACCATACGAAAATGATCTGCAATTGGGGTTACAAACAAAATTCAGAAACCGTATATGTCGAAAGAGCTTGAACAAAATAACAAACTAAAACTGAAAAAAGAGGAAGAAGAACAATTTTGCCAAGAAAAATGACTTGTGAACAACCAAATGCAGAGAAAAACAAGGAATCAAATTGAAAACAGAACGCAGGTCCATGTATATAATTCTTAGCAACGTACCATTAATTCATCAGTCTTCATGCATATTCCATTTGTTTAATATATAAAAGTCAAAATTACAAGGTTTTAAAAAATAGAAATTTTCTTTATCGAACTAAAACAACTTCTGTCCATGAATCTCAAGAGGATCTCTACCACTAAATAGCTAATGGAATTAAATATAAAATTCTTAACAACCAATCAGGCTATGTACTCAAACTAAAAACAGAGTCAAATAGATACAAATTAAGCCCAATTTTACACCCAAAAAAAAAAGAACAACAAATCTATGAACCAGATAGACAAAACGCAAGCAACCCATTTCATGCAAACACCATTAAAGAAAAAAAAGAAGCTAAGGGTGTAAGAGAAATAAATCAGATAAAAAGGAAACGAGTTGAAATGTACGTACAAGATAAAAGGAAAGGGTGTCAGTGGGGACGAAGAATCGGAAGCTAAGGACACACTAACAGAGAAGAAACGAATATGAAAGTGTTAAAATGATGGAAAGAGGATAAACAAACTTTTACTCTTCTTTTGAGTTGTGAAGGGTCAATCTGAGCACAGTGTGAAGGAAAAAGCATAAAAGGATGGGGAAAAGAATCAATTCTAGGGGAAGAATGAAGGGAATTTTGGGGGAATCTAAAGTTGCTTCAGAAAAAAAATAAAATAAATATATATATATATATATATATACATTACATTGTCGTCGCTATTTGTATTTCCATTGCTTTCGTCACTAAAAGAACCCATGCAAACCATATATTTTAATTATTATTTTCTCTTGGGAAAACTACGCATTTAATATTTAAACTATTACTTTTATTCCGTCTTGGTATCTAAATTTTATTTTTTCATAAATTCATGTCTAACATTTGGTTAGGGTTCAATTTGGTACCCACTATTAAAAAATTGATAGAATTACTGATGTCACATTTTTTTCTTTTTTCAATGTTGACATGCAATTATCTTATGATGATATGTCAACATCATCATTAAATTTTTAACGGTAGAATATCAAAACCAAATTTAAACTAAATATTAAGTATGATATAAAAGAATAAATTTCAAAAACTAAATAAAATAAAAACAATAATTTAAGTATTAAACGTATAATTTACCCTTTTTCTTTTAGGGTAAATTATCATGTTCGTCACTTAACTTAGTCTGTATATCAATTTTTATTTTATAGAATTGGTTAAAAGATGAAATCGTCCAAACGACAAGTAATTCTGCTATATGACAATCTAATTTAAAGATAAAAATGACAGACAATAACTGGAACCAAATATGTTATAAAAAAGCATAATATTTTCGATTGAATGTAACCTAAAATATTAATTTTTTCTAACATTTACGGTTGAACCGAAAATATTATGAAGAAAATACTTTCTATTGTCTACCGAAAAATATTATGAAAAGGTAACATTTTCGATTTAAAAAAACCTTTCACATCTTTCAATCATCCTCTAATATTTGCATTATCTACCATCATTACACTATTAAAAGAATAAAAAACTAGAATAAGCAATCACATCTACCTATGTAGGGATAAGAGTTCCATTGAGTATAAATTCTCTGACGGGATAAGAGTAAATACGAGAACTCTCTATTTTTTTGGGGACCATAACCACTTTATATAGCTGATTTAAGAATCATTTATTGTCCGTACTTATAACTCTGCCCCTCGTCGAATTATAAATACAACTTTAATAGTATCTACACTTTTATTTCCATAACACTTTTAATACCTTATGACTTTATAACATAATTAGTCACTTAATTTATATCATATTTTATGATAACAATATACATTATAAATATGTGTCCATAATTATGAATTTTAATCCAACAATTGTACCATATATATTTTTGAGACATTTTTGTATTGTATCATCTTTGTATAGTATTTTAATTTTTTTTTCACATTATTGATGTGTAAGAGATAAATAAATGTTGTGTTGATTGGGTACAATTTAACCTTTCGCTTTAGACATGAAGTCACAAATGAAAGTGTAAAATCTAAATATAAAAGGGTACATTTTGTGTTTGGTGTCTAAACTGTTAGTTTTGGTCCGTTTTAGTACATAAACTTTCATTTTTTAAAATCATACCTAAAGTTTAATTTTTGTTTCATTTTAGTACCCGTTCAAATTTAAATTTAAGTTTTGAATTTTTTAAAAAAGTTTAGGTACTAAAACGGACCAAAACTTATAGTTTAGGTACTAAATGCGTTAAGTATTTAGCGGTGGGTGCTAAAATGAAACAAAAATTAAACGTTATGAATGATTTAAATTTTTTTAAAAAATTTAAATACTAAATCAGACTAAAACTAATATTTTAAATAATAAATGTGTAGCTCCCAAAATAAAAATGAATGTTTTGAAATAAAGAAGTAATTTCTCAAAAAATATGAGAAGATGATCGAGATAACATTATTCATATGATCTTTTCATAGATTTCACTAATTTATATCTATTATGGGTATAATATGCATATGAACGGACCCGAGGGAAGTACGTAAAAACAGCTTTTCTTTGAACGGGTCCGACAGACTAAAAAAGTTTAGGTACTAACATTAAGTTTTTAAAGGTGGAGTATTAAAATGAAACAAAAATCAAATGTTATGCGTAGTTTTGAAAATCATTGAAAGTTTAGGTAATAAAATAAATTAAACTAATTGTTTAGGTACTAAATACATAGTTTACTCTATTATATTTTCTAAATGTCGTAATTTTTTTTGAGAAAATAACCTCAATGACTGAAAATGCCTTATAATATACGATTTTAACTAAATTTTTTTAGATTTACCAAAATGACCAAAAAAATCGCAACGCGAACTCTAATTTTTCAACTCAGTTTCCAAATTCGCAACGCGAATATCCAGATTCGTAACGCGATTTTGAAAAATGTGTTGCGAGAGTTTAAAAAACGTGTTGTTGAGATAGTGAAAAAGTGTTGCGATAGTGAAAAATCCAAAATAAGTTTACATTTTAACTATTCCAAATTCACGTGGAGTTTGAAACAATAAAGAATGTGTTGCGATAGTGTAAAAGATTCTCAAGCCATTTGTAAGATCTTAGTTTGAAACAATAAAGAATGTGTTGCGATAGTGTAAAAGATTCCCAAGTGTTTGCAATGTTCAATCTCACATAGTATTGGAAACACTACTGGGAATGAGTATTTAATGCTTGGATTTCCCACTTCCTTGTTGAGTGGAAGAGAACAAGGGGGACTCTCGCGCACAGCCGCTGCCGTCGTGGTCGTGGTCGTGGTAATACGTGTCTTCGACACGTCCGCGCGGATACTATCTTTTTAGAGAAAATTCTTAAGAAACAAATGCAATACCACCAGTCGTTGCGATTTTTCAAAATCGCAACGCGAACTTTGACTATCGCAACGAATTTGAAAAATCGCAACGTGAACTTGGACTATCGCAACGAATTTGGACTAACGTAAATTTGGAAAATCGCATTGCGATTTTGTATTATCGCGTTTAGATTGTCAGAATCGCGTTGCGATTTACATATTCGCATTGCGATTTTCTAAAATCGCAACGCGAATTTGCAAAATTACAATGCGATAGTCAAAATCGCGTTGCAAATCTGGAAACTGATTTGCGATATTAGAGATCGCGTTGCGATTTAGAGATCGCGTTGCGATTTAGAGATCGCATTGCGATTTTGTTGGTCATTTTGGCAAATCGAAAAAAAGTTGGTCAAAATCGTATATTATAAGGCATTTTCTGTCACTGAGGTTATTTTCTCTTTTTTTTTTTTGGTTTCGGCACTAGGGGTGTAAACGAGTCGAGCTCAAGTATTGCTGAGATCAACTCGACTTGACTCGAAAACTCGCAAGCTTAACATTTTCAAGCTCGACTGGAACTCGAAATCCTGAACTGAAACTCATGAGCAGCTCGAAAGGCTCGAAATGAAAAAAAAAAGCTTAAACTTAACTCGATTGAAGCCTCAAACTCAAACTCGAACATGAACCTTAAATACATAAAATCTTAATGTATTTTTTTAAAAAAATCAATACATAAATATTAATATTATTAATAATTTATTTTTTAAAATAAAATCTTAATAAATTATATTTTCGAGTTGCTCACGAGCTTTTCGAGTCGAATATCGAGTAGCTCATTTAGGCTCGTTAAGAACTCGAGTCGAGCTCGAGCTCAAGTCGAATCTATTCGATCAGAGTATTTATCGAGTCTTGATCGAATAGATCTCGAGTAACTCGTGATCTGTCTCGTCTCTTTTACAACCCTATTCGGCACTATACGCAGACTAAGAAAGGAAATGCAAAAGCTTTCAAACTTACCCCAAGGAAAGTTCCAAATAAACTCTCCGAGACCCATCTCTAGATGTCCTCCGTGGCTTATTAGTATACAAATGAGGAAAATGGGAGGAGAAAATGGGTTGGCGTGATTCATGATTTTGAGAGAGATGAGGGGAGGGGCGGAAGATAAAGGGATAAAATGAAAAAAATATAAATTTAATTTTTTTATTGAGACCAAAACGGCATCGTATTGATCCAGATTGGATATTTGTAATGATTTAAAACTACATCGTTTTATTACAAGTTGTTATGCCATAACGTCGTTAATTATTTAACGGCAGAGTGACAAAAAAAGTTCAATGTCTAAAGTTCAGTGAGTAAATTGAAAAAAATTAAAAGTACGGTAAGTGAAATAGAAAAGAGGATAAAGTCAAGTGAGTAAGTGTGTAATTTACCCAAATAGTTTTTATTCGAATTCTAAATAAAATAAAAAATAAAAAAATATGATACTCCGAATAAATAAAAAAATCTAATAAAACTCAATATCTGTCCATCCCTAATACAACCAAGAGAAATACCGATCAAACTACGTTACCGCTTCAACTGTCAATTTACCTAACAGAAATCGTTTGTTTTAAGCATGCATAATTACTTGGACGTTAGAACAAACCTAAAAAGTGGTAACAAAGTAAAAATATATATATAATAAGCGTTAAAATTATAGTTTTTTTTTTACGAATATGTATCTAAATTTTTTTGAATGATATTAGTGTCTAACGTTATAAATGTTATTATTTCATAATGTTAATGGAGGAAACTAACGTTGTTAACAGCCCGAACATCTAAAATGATAACGTTTATAACCAATGACAGATCTAGAAATTAAAAAAATAATATAATGAGTATGTAAAAAAAATTATTTTCTAATCATTCCCTTAATATATTGAATTATATTTAATAATTTATCTAAAATAATAGGTATGCACTTGGATCCTAGGACTAGATTTATAATGTTATACATTGAGATCATTTAAAAATAATTTAAATATATATTCAAAAAAAATATTGTAATTTGAACACTTATTTTACCTTTTAAAAAATAAAAATAAAAAATAGTAACGAATTTAGTTGGCGTTTCCGGGAATTTACAACGGCACTGTAAATAAATCCCTTTTTGTTCTTTTGTTTTGCTTCAAATGCGGATAAAGCAAATTTTAAGATTTTGTGTGTGCGCGTGGAAATCCAAAGGACAATTCAGCAGAAGAGAATATAAGACTTGGAATCACAGATAATTATATTCAGTGAGCAAAGAGCAGAGGTAGATCTCAATTCTTACACAGCAATGTACGGTAAAGCTGCAATCTGCTTACCATCCGTGATTCTCTTCCTCGTTTCATGTTCAATCTATGTCGGCACCGTTGACTTCAGATCCTACTTCTTCCCTCTACTTCAGTCGCCCACGGTCACACGCTCGCTCTGCGCTACCGGCCGCCCCCTCCGCGTTTACATGTACGATCTCCCCAGGAGATTCCACGTCGGCATGATGGACCGTCGGAGCTCCTCCGAGGGATCGGCTCCCGTGACGGCGGAGAATTTCCCACCTTGGCCATCGAATTCCGGGATCAAGAGACAGCACAGTGTGGAGTATTGGCTGATGGCGTCGCTTCTCTACGGCGGCGACGGAGAGGAAGGTAGGGAGGCGGTTAGGGTTTCGGATCCTGAAACCGCGGACGCCTTTTATGTGCCGTTTTTTTCCTCGTTGAGTTTTAATACGCACGGCCATAATATGACGGATCCTGAGACGGAGGTTGATCGCCGATTACAGGTACTGGGAATCTTAATCAATCGCTCCGCGCTATGGCTTAATGCGTTGTTTGGTGATTAGGGAGATGGATTCCAGTTGTTTTGATACCAAAAATGCACAAATTAAGTTCATTTAGTTGCATTTTGTTTTTAGTTACTGATATTGAATTCCATGAAAAATACGAGACTTTAGCTATCTGGGTTTGGATAACTACATCAGCTGAATTCAAAACAAAAATAAATTTGTTAATTGCTCTTTTATTTCTTTAACATTTCCCAATTATAAAAGAGATGGGACTTTAGGTGCATTTATCAATTGATCATTATATGAAAAGGAAATGCCGCTTTGCTTGTGCTTTTGACATGTTAAAGAATTAGCCAATGGTTTTGGGAACTATCATTTTGTAATAATGAATTCATTAATTGCTCTTCAATTAATGGAATGTAGATTTCAAACATGTTCAGCACATGATAACTTGAATACTTTTTTATCATGATGCATCTAATCCTTGGTCAACGGTTCATTATTGATGGTAATCATTTAGGGAAAGGAGAACTTCCACATGCTTCCTAGCTCCTTATATTATTTTGAAGTGTGTAAATGAATGCTTATTGCAATCCTCTAAGTATTTTTCTTTTAAGATGGCACTATATGCCCTCTTTTACTGACCGGAAGCAAGCAGCGGTTGCTGGTTTGATTATTAGTAACTTGCACCGGTTGTCTCAAATATTATCATGCCTAACTTGTCAGAATTCTGTAATTTTAATGCGAATGATATTAAAAGAGCTATTTCTCCCCCTTTTCTGCTGCCGATGAGTTTCTCTAGTTTGTAGTTATTGCTTTGTGTTTTTACTCGACTCTACGTCCCAGCAGGCGGAATGATCTTATATTTCAGTTTTCTGGAGTAGACTTATATTGACGGATGTGGGATATAAAGTGCTTCTCATTTCAAGTTGATTACTGTTGATTATGGTGAACGTAAATTGCTTTCTCACTTATCCAAAAAAAAAAAAAATTGCTTTCTCATTTCAGGTTGAGTTATTGGAATTCCTGCAAAAATCCAAGTACTATCAAAGATCTGGAGGCAGAGACCATGTAATTCCCATGACACATCCAAATGCTTTCAGATTTCTTCGACAAGAGTTGAATGCATCACTCCTTATTGTTGTAGATTTTGGCCGCTATCCTAGAAACGTGTCAAGATTAAGCAAAGATGTGGTTGCTCCATATGTACATGTTGTGGACTCCTTCACAGATGATGACCCTCTGGACCCATACGAGTCTCGAAATACACTTCTTTTCTTCCGGGGAAATACTGTCAGGAAAGATGTACGACAATTTTTTAAACACAGATATTCCGTTCATAGAACTTATGTTGAATTTGGTAACGTTCTTAACTCAATATCATTTCTGCGCAGCAAGGCAAAATTCGAGTCAAACTGTCAAAGATGTTGTCTGGTATTGATGATGTTCATTACGAGAAGAGTGTAGCAACTCCGAAAAACATTATAATGGTATGCTGCTTGTCTTGGACCTTGGAAGTATACTATTTTCTAAGCATTCAGAAAACGAAGTGGTAATCCCAGTTTCCAATTTGCATATTTTGATAGTCCCAAAATTCAAATGGACTTGCTTGCCGATACGTGTTAATGTTATGTTTGCTTTTTCGCAACGATTTTTAGTCAAAAAGCCAATTTTTAGTTACCATGTCTGCTATTTGTACTTTTTTTTTTCCTTCCTTTGGATGTTTTGACGTGGTTTGATACATCTGTCTCTTGGTTTCAGACAATAAATTTGTGTTGCTAATCTATTAAATGGGAAGTATTTGCCACCATATTACAGTCTAAAACCAAATAATCATCACTTTTTCAAGGTGGAAGAAACTTTTGGAGACGCTTTGCAATTTTTTCAATATAATTTTTGTGCTAAAATTATGCTAAATATCTTATTTCTTTCACTTTCTTTTGTATTAGTCTACAGAGGGGATGCGTTCGTCAAAGTTCTGTCTGCATCCTGCAGGTGACACACCTTCATCTTGCCGAATGTTTGATGCTATTGTGAGCCATTGTGTTCCGGTGATCGTCAGTGATAATATTGAGCTCCCCTACGAGGATGAAATTGACTACACTGAATTCTCAATTTTCTTCTCTATGAAAGAGGCATTGGTACCAGGTTATCTGGTCAATCAGTTGCGTCAATTTCCAAAGGACCGATGGCTTGGAATGTGGAACCGGCTCAAGAATGTTTCCCATCATTTCGAGTTCCAGTACCCTCCAAAGAAGGAAGACGCCGTCAATATGTTATGGAGACAGGTAAAGCACAAGCTTCCCGGGATCCAACTTGCTTTACACAGAAGTAGAAGATTGAAAGTTCCAGATTGGTGGCAACGGAGACGATGACAACAGAACCTTGTTTCAACACTGTACATCACCATATTTTTCTCATTTATGGTGACATCTGACGGCGGGTAATGAGCAAAGGTGCCTGGAAACCACAAGCCAACACATCATGGGCCAGCTTTACCGAGCTCTGTGACTTACGGTACGTAGTTTCAAACTCGGTTAATATTGTTTTTCATCATTTGTTTGTGCGGATGTGGGCTATAGATAGTGTAATGACATAGGATATACACTTCCAGAGGTGATTTTGTTTAGGTTCTAATCTTTGCATTCAAATCTTGTACAAGTGTATTCAAAGTGATCAAGCTAATCCATGTATCAGTAGTACCTCAGAAACTTCATTTGATTTTGTCTTGTACTATTGAATAAATCTTTTTCGTTCAACAAATATGAGTAAAATTATATTGTTCAATTGGGCCTTTCGGGCAATTTTAGTTTGGGTTTTGGCCACTGTCCTTTTATTTATTATATTGCAAAAATTGATAGAAATGCAAAAGAAGAAAAAGACATACAAAAACTATTAAAATGGCATTTTTTATAGTAATTTAACACTCAATATTTTACTTTAAGTCAAATTAAAATGTTTACTAAATTATTAAAATATAATCGATATTGATGTGACAATATGTATGATAATTCACATATATTTTATTATTGAGGTAATATTATGTAATATTGTTCGTAATATTAATAAGGGTAAAGTATATAAATAGTCCCCAAACTTTTAAAGCACTTACATTTTGATCACCCAACTTTTAAAACTTGCAATATAGTCATCGAACTTTTAGTTCGTTTTACAGTAAGATCCATGTCATTACCTCCCGTTAGTTTTTGCTGATATGACACGTTACCATTTGACTCAGCACATTTGACCGATAGTTTGACTTCTTCTTCTTCCAACTAAAACCCAAAACCCTTATTCTTCTCCTCCTCCCAACTCAAACTAAGCAAAACCCAAAATCCTTCTCCTTCTTCCAACTCAAATCCTTAGTCTGATTGGGATGGAAAAATGTTGCCAGTCCAAACTTACCAATCTTGAGGTTTCCATTACAGTCTATCAAGAGATTTGAGCCCTTAATGTCACGGTGCAAAACACCGTGACTATGGCAATGGTTGAGTCCTCGGAGCAGCTGTTGCATATAACACTTTATCTGGACAGTTACACATAAGGATTCAACACTTGAACACCCTTAACAACAGAGTCCCTTGTCTTTCATTTGAGTAAAAAAAAGGCTAAATATAATTCTTCACCATAAAAAATAACACATACAAGAAAGGGTGCAACTTTGACAACAAAAATTGCCTCCATTTGCACAAGCAGCTAATAACTAAAGAAAGGAGTTTCCACCAAATTTGTTTTCCATTTTGAGTCGTAAATTGTAACAGTTATTTTCTACATGCACAATATGTTCCATCAAAAACCAAGGGAAAACCACTCACAGTTCATAATGCCACAGACTTCTTACGAAATTGTTTTCTTCCATCAAGACTAGACTCCTTTGAAGTCCAGAAAATTATAGGATCACAAACTTTATGCTGATCTAAACAACATTAATCAAATAAATATTGAAGATATGAATATACCTGAGCCTCAGTGAACTTAATCGTAGGTGCTGCTATAAGCTCTGCAAGATCACGCGCCATGTATTCAAATATAAGACATAGGCTTCCAGATGCCCCGGAAGTAATTAGACCTTCAAGCTTCATGACATTAGGATGATCAAGCCGACGCAAAATAATAATTTCCCTTGCCATGAAACAAACACTTTCAGGGTCCATATTAACAAATCGAACTTTCTTCAAGGCAACTAAATTATTTGATTCAAGGTCACGAGCTTTGTACACACTGCTGTAAGGAGAAGGGTTTTGGGTTTTGCTTGGTTTGAGTTGGAAGAAGAAGAAGAAGTCAAACGGGCTGAGTCAAACGGTAATGTGCCAGGTAAGCAAAAACTAACGGGAGGAAACGGTAGGGATCTTACTGAAAACAAATTAACAGTTCGATGACTGTATTGCAGGTTTCAAAAGTTGGATGACCAAAATGTAAACGCCCTAAAGGTTTGGGAACTATTTATATAATGTACCCTATTAATGAATAATTTTAAAATATTAGAATATTTAAAATTTTAAAATAGATAAAAAAATATTAAAACTTTCAAACAAATAAAGAAAAATAAAAACACATCAAATTATTTAGTTAAATTAATGGAAAAAAATGTTTATCTTGAGAATAAAAATATACGTTCTGAAAATCAAAGACAATAATACAATTATGATAAAGATGCTAAATCTGTCATTATCTATATATTCGACCAGCATGATTAGTTTTCTTAGCTTTGATTAGAGCATATCTATTATCAATTTGCTCCACCAATATTAGTGGATACGAATTTTCTTTGGGGTTTGTTGTTGGAGGGTACCCTTTTCTTTTGGTTTCTCGGCTCTTCGCCTGTACGTCAAACCTAGAAATTCTCAGGTATTCTTAATATACTGTTAAGGAAAGACACTATCAATTTTACATCTAGGTTAAACCAACCCTTCGAAAACCCCAAACCCCAAAACTAAGCTATTCACTTCTAACTATATCAAAATCAAGGGTTTCAGTCCACTCATTTTTGCATCTCCGTTTGACTCCATTTTCGTTTTTTTTTAGCTCATCTGGTAAGTAAATTGTTTATTTTAGTTTAGTTTTGAGTTACTTGCAGCTAAAGCTCGTAGCTTTAGTTGTCGCATACAGCTGGTCTTTCATGAACCCTATTTATCTCAAGAGCTTAAGGTTCTGGTTCATGTAAACTCCATTTAACTTAACTGAAACGCTCTGTTTATTGTACTGGTTCGACGATCCTTGTTCGAGAATCAATAGGGAAGGGTAGATTGAACCTTTTTTTTCTCTCTTAAATGCTTGTGGATTTTATTTCATTTTGAAAAATGTATTGTTACCATTATTATGTTTTAGGAGGTAGATTTTGAGAGCAACATACACAGCCTGAAGCACGTAGGTTTGGTGAGGGTGGCCGTGATCCGTGTGCTATTTTGTGTTTCGAATCTTTATGAGTATGCTAAACAGAATTCCAGTCCGTTTCGATCCACCGTCGTGACCTTTGAAGGCACCGTCGCCCCCACCGTTGGCCCCGTCTACCAGAAATGTAAGGACGTTCCTGATCATCTTCTTGTTTATCTTGATACTAAGGTGATGTATATTTATATTTAATGTATTATAGTGAATAATTCTATAAAAGTAAATTGTGAATTAGACGATGATACACGCACGTTGTTTCTAGTTTAATCTCGATTAATTGTGGATAGGAGTGAGCATTCAATTAAGTCGAGTAAAAAAATTTCTTGTTATTAAAGTTGACGAGTCATATTTTGCAACTCAGAGTTATCTTAAAAAATTTTCTAGTCAAATTGAGTTTATAAAATTCGCGTTGACTAAGTCGAATTTAATTTTCGAGTTTTTGTTTAAATTTGATCATAAATATTTATAATATTATGATATTATTTAATTTTAATTTAAATAGTTTTTTACGATCATATACAATACATTAGCTGACCTTTATTCTCATATATAATAATAGGGTAAGGGGAGGTAGGATAGTAAACTGCTCCCAACGTCAGGTTAAGAACAACTTCCGTAGGAGACCTCCGAATTATGAAATGCCCTATGTAAAACTCGATCCCACGACCCCAAAGTTAAGAGCCTTGTGCTCTACCAACTGAACTGGATGATCATTTTTATCATATACAATACATATATATAACAATTCATTTTTGTGTGACTTTTTATTAGAAAAATGTAATACATATATGTTTCTTTCACATGTTATACACATATATCACAGTTGTAGATCTAGTAATAAAAAAAATAAGAGTACAAAATTTTATTATTATATTTTAAATTTTTTTTTTTATTTTTCTTAACAAGTTAAATTAAATTTAACACTTTTATCAAAATAATAATGTGCAGTTGCTCCACTAAGGACCCACGTATATCCGCCCCTCATATGTTATACAAAATTGAAGGATTTGATTAAAATCTGAAAGTATGGCTGGGTCCAATATGATTGATAAAGAAGACCCAATCCAAATGGACTAGATGGGCCTTGGACTTCATTTCATACGCATTAGACACCTAATTCATGATGCATGTATATTAATAATTCCATTTCCAAATTAAGAGTAGAAAAATTTGATCTCAAATTAAGTGATAATTTGATACACCAACACCTAATGAATTAAAATGAAAATAAACTTATTATATTTTTTAAGTTTAATTATTTAAATTTAATTTTTTTTAGAAAAAAAATATTTTAACTTACCGGATATTAAATTTTAATTTAACGAAGGTGAACATTGATCTATATAGTACAAGAGGGATTTTGAAAAAAAGATAAACAAGGCGCCCTCTTAACATTACACAGAGAACTAAAACTGTGCCGTTTCAGCAACTATCGTCATTGCAGTAAACGTTGACTTTTTAGACTCGAATTTTCCACCAAAACTGGTTGTTCATTTTCATTTTCCACTTCCTCTTTTTATCGTTGCCTTAAAGAGTTTAAAATAAATAGTAAATTACCATGAGGCGTTATTATTTTAACTTTCGGCGATAACGTCATCGTTCCCATTTACCGCTTCGTTCCCCACGAAGCCATCGCCTTCGTCGTCGAGCCACCGCTCCACCGGCGCACACCCGGCTTTGTGGCGCAACTTCCAGTCGAGCGCTTGGCAAGCGCGTGAGCAGTAATTAACGGCCCCGCAAACGGAACACCTCCGGAACTCGTGCTTTCTCGTCTCCGGTCTCCCACAACCGATGTGGGAGCATAGTCTCAAGCCCGGGCCAGGCACCCCGCCCTGAGCGCTGAACCACTCGGCTAAGAACCTGTTAGCCGGGTGCGCCTCCGGAGCCGGCACATTGAATCCGAAATCGCTCAGCAACGGGCAACCCGGGACCGCCGGATGGCGGTGGCTGAGGTTGAGGTTAGGGTGTGGGCTCCACGTGAGCCAGGAGCGCATAAATTTGTTGGAAGCAGCCCCAGCTGATGATAAAACCGCCGCTAACTCTCGGGCGTTTGCTTGGACGAGAAACCGACGGCCCTCGACGACATTTTGCCGGACGCCGTAACCGTCCTGCAGGCAGTGACCGAGCTCACGGAGGGCGTCGATGTGGCCAAGAAAAGCAGCGCGAGCACACAAAGCAACGCCGGCCCTATGATCTTTGTCGTTCTTGGAGCCGCCGCTTCCGTTGAACTGAATCACAGCTAAGGAGTACAGTGCCGGCGCGTGTAAATTAATCGCCGCCTTAGCCAAAAGAGAGGCTCCACTCTCTCGATTCTCTAGACAGTAGAAAAGAATCTGTTTCAAATTATATATCAGTTAAACTCGTTACTGAACGTTGATACTTCACTACTAAAATATAAAATCGAAACTCACCATGCCGAGTGTATAACAAGCTTCAATATTTCCGGCATCCGCACAGTCCTTCAAGAACCTCCGGCTCGATTCCGACCAGTTTCTGGCTTTAATGGCAAACATTTTTTGAGAGGCTTTGGATAATACAAGGGGATGGAGTGCTAAACTATTTAATCTCTTGCATCTGCTCAACAAAATAGAAAATGAAATCTTCAGGGAAAAAACTATCTTTTCCGAGAAACAAGCAATCAACCCAGAAGAATCCAGGAAACTTACGCAACCAAAGCGTTGGCAAAATCTGAGGGGCAACGAGCGGTGGAGCTTAGTTTAGAGAGAACATAAATGACAAGATCATCAGGCAGAGCATAAAAAAAGTCTCTCTTTCCAATACTCTCCGGCGAGGTTCTTCGCCGTTTCCGGCAACCCATATTATCCCCGGCGAAACCCGTAATTTTAACGACTTTCTTCTCTAAACAAACATCTGCTCTGGGGTAATAGAGCCCTCTCCTTGTTCTCATTTTTGTCTCTCTCTAGAAAATCAATCTATTATGCAAATTGATCTCGAGCTCCGTGCCTTCATCGTCTGCGTTTCACTCTGTCATCTTTTTCTCTTGTGGCTCAAGAGACGTATATAAAAAAGCAAAGTGGAAATCTTATATAGAAGGCAGAGGGATCGAAAACAACAAGACGATTTTAACTAATTTTTTTTGGATTTGTCAAAATAACCAACAAAATCGCAACGCGAAATAAAAATCGCAACGCGATCCCCAAAATCGCAAATCAGTTTCCAAAATCGCAACGCGATTCTTGAAAATCGCAATGCGATAGTACAAATTCACATTGCGATTTTCAAGAATCGCAACGCGAATATGAAAATCGCAACGCGAACACATAAATCGTAATGCGTATCCGTAAACCGCAACGTGTATCCGTAAATAGCAACGCGTATCCGTAAATCGCAATGCGTATCCGTATATCGCAACGCGTATCCGTAAATCGCAACGATAATCCGTAAATCGCAACGAGAATCTGTAAATCGCAACGATAATCCGTAAATCGCAACGAGAATCTGTAAATCACAACACTGAAATTTTGGGTATATAACTACGCAACAGCAGCAAATCATAAACTAAATCCCTAAATCGCAACTCATTCCATCTCCATCTATCACTCTCTCCGGCGACATCCGTTCCTATATCCAACGACATCCTTCCCAATCCGGCAACAGGTTTTAGTTTCGCAGCTCGTCTGTTTAGTAAATTAATTTACAACCATGAAATCATCTAATGTTGATCATGTTTGGATAGATTTGTGTTTTGGAGGGTCATGGGATAATGTTCATGGTGTTTTACAATATATGCCTTTACCCATGAATCTTCAACTAAAATTGTCTTTACAAAAGTTAACTTATGAAACTCTAATGCTACGTGTTTCAAATAAATTGAATTTAGAGCCCCTAAGTGGATTTAGGCTATCTTATCAGAGAAATGGTAAAGTTTATTTGTTAACCGACAATGAAGATGTTGAACGATTCATTGCTTACATTAGTGTTTCACAAGATGATGTTACATTGTATGTTGTTGAACCTAGAAGTAGTATTGTTGGGTCAGTAGCGGGTAGTAATCAACTAAGTTTTTCTCAAAACCCGCAACCTTTCTCTAATCCAAATCCCAATCAACTTTCAGCACCAAATTCCGGTTTTCGTATTGACCAGTTAGACGATGATGAGCCAACAGAAAAAATTGTGAGTACTAGTCAGTATTCGAAATTTGGTCTTGGTCAATATCCGGACTTTGATATTGGTCAATACACGGATTTTGATGATGTTTCAGAAGAAGAAACAGACCCTGTGTGTAATGATTTTGATATTGGTCAATACCCGAATTTTGATGATGAAACAGCCGTTGCTGAAGAATGTATTGTTGATGATAATGAGGAGGAAGTTACGACTGTGAATGAACATGTTGAACATCCATTCTGTAATTCATATAATCCTGAAGAAGAAAAAGAAGAAGAAAAAGTCCCCGAAGAAAAGAAAATGCCACGGGCGTATAACTGGAATATGCCAGAATTACTTCAGATACCGGAAGAAGAGTTGGTAAAGAAAGCAGTTGATTGTTACACAAAGTTATTCGTATCAAGAAAGATGATTGTTTTGATACAAAGGAAGACTTGAAGATAGCTTTGTATACGAAATGTGTGGAAGATGGCTATCAACTAAAAGTTAACAAATCAAGCAAAGATCGTTTCGAAACAAGGTGTATGATTGACAAAAACTGTACGTGGCGTATGATTGCAAAGAGAATAAAAGATTGCGAAATGTTTCAAGTTAGGACTTTTATTGATAAACATACATGTTCAAGAACCCAAGTTTTTCCTCACCATAGACAGGCAAACAAAAAGGTGTTGGGTGGTTTTCTGGCTGAGTTAATGTTTTTGAATGGCAGGGTATATCGGGGACATGAAATTATGACTGACATGAATGCTCGGTTCAAGATTAGTATATCATATTCTCAAGCTTGGAGAGCCAAATGTTATGCCTTGGAATTGTTGAGGGGGTCGCCAGAAGCATCGTTTGCCCAACTGCCGGCTTATTGTCACAATTTAAAGCTGAAAAATCCTGGGTCGGTAACTCATATCAAAATAGATAGAGATGGACACTTTGAGTTGCTGTTTATCGCCATTGGTGCTACGGTTAGTAAATAAATATAATTTTGTTGACTCATTTTTGTTAGTTACATGCATTTCACATTTAAATGATTATATTTCTTGTGTATATTATTTTGTAGATTCGTTCGTTTATTACTTGCATGCGCCCAGTTATTATAGTTGACGGAGCACATTTGAAATGTCGATACCTTGGAGTAAACTTATTAGCAGTAGCCATGGATGCTAACAATGGGATATTGCCAATAGCTTACGGGGTTGGCAAATCTGAAACCTCTGATTCATGGACATGGTTTATGGGGCATCTTAGGGATTGCATAGGTCCTATTAGCAATCTGACAATCATATCCGATAGGGCAAACTCAATTGACAACGCTGTTAGAAGGTGTTTCCCAGATGCTTTTCATGGACTTTGTGGTGTTCGTTTGTATAGAAATCTAAAATCAAGGTCTGCTGGTATAAAAAGCACAAATGGACATACTGGAAGGCTGTAAAAGCTTATCGGGAAGTGGATTTCAATAAGCATATAAATTGTTTAAGACGTGTTTTGCCTCAGTGTGCTCAAACACTAGAAGATGTCGGGTTTGAAAGATGGTCAAGAGTACATCAACTTGGAGCAAGATATGGTTTCATGACGTCTAATAGTGCAGAATCAATCAACGCTCTAAGTCGTCATTCCCGGAAATTACCCATTACTATGTTAATGGAGTTTTTTCGAGCCTCTATTCAACAGTGGTACTACAAGAAAAGAAACCATGCATGTATTATTTCTTTGAATTCGTAACTTATCATATTTATATATTTTACTAAGTATTGTTTATTTAAATTTACAGGAACATTGGAACATCGTGTTACACCATGGACTGAAAAAAAGATAACGAAACGTGTTGTGAAGTCAACGTCATGGAGAGTTGAACCATGTTCAAACACTTTGTTTCAAGTACTGGATAATAACTTAAATGGGCTAGTCGATCTAAATGCAAAGACGTGTAGTTGTATGAAATGGCAAACATCTGGTTATCCATGTGGCCATGTTATAAAAGTTGCTCTTCATTTAAACCAAGATGATTCAAGCGCATACGCTATGGATTGCTACACTACAGAAGTTTATCGACAGACTTATGCCGAGATTGTCTACCCTATTCCACATCCTTCTGAGTGGGACATACCAGATGACTTACAAACAGTTTTGCCACCAGCCATGGACAGAAGGCTACCTGGCCGACCAAAAAGTCACGATCGTATACCGTCTAAGGGTGAAGAGAAGAAGAGATCGACATGTAGTCGGTGCAAGGAAAGTGGTCATACAAGGTTGACATGTGGATCACCAGTGCCATCAAAATCATCTTTTCCTCTACCAAAATATGGATCCTCATCAAAATCCAAAGCTCATATGGTGTCAAGCAAAAGGCAATCATCTTTAAAATCCCAATCACAATTGGCTTCACCTTTTGGGACTGTTAACTTAGGTGATTTTTAAATGCAAACGTTGTATTATGTGGATTTTATGTGTGAACTTTTAACATTTTCAGTTGAATTAATGACTCAGGCCAACCATTTTGACTTAACCAACTCTTGTTATTCAGTTGTTATCACTTATTAGGCATGCATTTGACTATCGCAACACGGAAATTACAATCGCAACGAGAGAATCGCAATGCGAAATGAAAATCCCAACAAGAAAATCGCAATGCGGAAATGAAAATCGCAATGCGAAATGAAAATCGCAATGCGAAATGAAAATCGCAACGAGAGAATCGCAATGCGGAAATGAAAATCGCAATGCGAAATGAAAATCGCAACGAGAGAATCGCAATGCGAAATGAAAATCGCAATGCGAAATGAAAATCGCAACGAGAGAATCGCAATGCGGAAATGAAAATCGCAATGCGAAATGAAAATCGCATTGCGATTCTCTCGTTGCGATTTTCATTTCCGCATTGCGATTTTCATTTCGCATTGCGATTCTCTCGTTACGATTTTCATTTCGCATTGCGATTTTCATTTCAACATAATGCAGATTGAAATCAACAAAATCAACCATTACATTTCAATCAATTAAACAAGCACAAATAAGAATTATGTTCGCATCAATTACACAAATCAACTTTTACAAATCATCTTTTACAAATCAATTAAACAATCAAAAAATAAGCAATAATTCTTATTTCCAATCATCTACTATTGAATCAACTTTTACAAATCAATTAAACAATAAAAAAACAATCAATTAAACTATTGAATCAACTTTTGCAGCCATACATCATTTTCACGCAGTTCACTTCTGAGATTAACCTGCAGAAACCAAACATTTGCTCAAACAACACTTTCAACACATCTAAAACCTACAAACAGTAAATTATTGAATTCTAGGTACTTAACCAAACATTTTCAAACCAAAAGTCTATAAACTTACCAATTGTTTATGGACATTTTTATAACGCGGATGCAGGTAGGCAGCGTCTCGTATATATCGATTTAGCCATATAATGCCGAAACCACAAGCCTACTGCAGCTCTATCTCTATCGGTGGGAGGTAGATACTTGGTGCTTCCCGTCGTCAAACGCTCCAACGCCAAGCATACGAGAGGACCACAATCTCCTCTGGCTCCTCCCGTTTGTTGTGGCGCGGTCTCGTCTCTAATAACTGTAATATTGAGCTTCTTTGGCTTCTTGTTTCCAGAACGAGTCCAATAATTGATCGCATCCAAGAATTTAGCCAAATGAGAGCTCCATCCCTTAATAATATCTCTTAAATCAGCCAATGATATGTAATTTATCATGCTGTCATACACTATTGTCTTAAGGGATGGGAGCTGAAGCTCGACGAGAATCCAATGTTTACGTTCCAAAACAGGGATAAACACCTGCAATCATAAGTAATAATTCATTCATTTGCGCACTTATTTCATAAAACCTTTAAACTCAATCTA